CCCCGCCCCTCCGCCATGCGGACCCCGCCCGGGCCGCTGCCCCCGCCCTCCCGGTACCTCCGCCCCGGCCTCCCCGGCCCCGCCCCGCGCCTGCCGCCGGTACCTGCTGAGAGACGGGGACGAGCGGCGCCGCCATCTTCCGCGGACTCCGGCTCCAAGCGCCGGGAGGCGGGGCTAGAGCCGCGCGTGCGCACAGCTGCAGGGACGGTGCGCGCGCAGCCGAAGCGCGAGGGGCTCCCCCCCCCCAAGAGGAGCGCGCATGCGTAATCGGGCTGTGGGGGCGGGGCCGCGTGCAACAGGGCCGCAGTGGCGGGGCACAGGGCAAGCGGGGCACCGAGACTCCAGCGTAGCGCTGTCGCGCTGGCCTGTCACCTGGCCTGCGTGCCGCACTGGACCGGCCGGGACTGCCGTCCAGTTCCCGCGCCAGTGCCGAGCTGGCAAGGTCTGCATTAGGCTCCCGGCACCCCGTGGGCACAGTGGGGATGGCGACCTCACCACACCCGCCGGACCTCGGCCACAGCAGCCCCACGCCCGTTTCCCACTGGCTCCACGCCCTAGCTACCACCGCGACATGCCTCGACCGACCCCCTCTGTACCTTCTCCTCCTGAAGATAGGGCTAACTCGTGCTGCGCTCGATGAGAGGAGGTGGCGGGAGCCCCGGCCCGCGACACTTCATGGGACGCGTCTCCCTGCCTTTGGCCACGCACCTTCCTCCAGGGCCACACAGTGGGGACATGGTGCCGCTGGCCACAGCCGCCAGGTGGGCGTGTCTCCTGGAAGCCGCCCCCTTGCACAGGCCTCCCAGCTTCCTGGTCACCACCTCTCTGGTGTCCCACGGGGGCTGCTTCAGCATCATTGTGACTGAGTGGTGGCTCGCATGCCATTTGGATAAATACTGTGCCTTATGATTCACTCAACAACCATTCCCCCGCCAGAAACGGCTGAGAACTCTGCCTGGAGCCTGGTGCATGGTGTTCCGGTGGACAGCCCTCTCCCCCTGGAAGACAAGTCAGAGCCAGGGTTTCCCTGGGGGCTTGTGAAACCCACTCCAGGGATCTGGTTTCCTCTAGATGGGAGTGGGCCCTTGCCAACAAATGCCCAGGTAAACCATGGGTCTGCAGGAGGCTTTCGGTCACAGCGAGTCCATGGTGGCAGATGCAACAATGCAGACCACTGAGATGACACCAAAGGCCAAGAGTGTGCAGTGGTCAGCTCTCCCATGGAGGGACATGACACGGGACACCCCACAAGCTGGAGTTGAGATCTGATGTGACTCCTGGCCCCAGAGTGGTCAATCTGTATCCACTGGCTCCTGAAGGGGCCAGGCCAGATCGAGCCCTCCCGTCCTAGACACACCCAGTGTGCTCCACCAAGCTTTGGGTGGTTTCAAAGGCACTGTGATGCTATCACAAGTCCCACCAAAACAGTGTACACACAGAAAAAAGGGGCTGGGGATACCGAGGAGGAGGACCCAAACTGAGGTTCAAAGAAGGCTGGGTCACAGCTGTAACTCCCCTGGGTGCCATTCCAGGAAGGTTAAAGTCAACAGTACAGTGACCCAAGTACCACAACTCACAATAGCTAAGCCCTGGAAGCACCTGTGTGTCGATCAATAGATGGACAGAAGAGAAAATGTAGTGTTCTGCACCACAGAGCACTACTCTATCATGAAGGATAACCAAGTCACTTGTAGGGAAACACATGTACCTTGAGACAGGGAAATAAGCCAAACACAGTTAAATATCAAATGGTGTCTCTTCTATAAGCAACATGAAGAGAAAAATAAAAGATGAAAGAAAACAAGCTTGTAGAGATGAGAAGGCGCTCTGGGAGTAGGGGAGAGAGGAGGAAAAGGGAAGGAAAATGACCAAGATGTGATGTGTCTGTACAATTCCCTTCAGTGAGCAATCACTACACATCACTCACATATACTGAGAGAAATGCTAACACAGAAACTGTTTGAAAACACAAGGCTGGAATGGCCAGGTGTGGTGGCACACCCCTGGAATCCCAGCACTGAGGCAGGAGGATCATTGGGAGTTTGAAAAAAGCCTGGGATACAAGTGAGCTCAAGGCCATCCAGAAGTGCATAGCGGAGACCCTGTCTCAAAGGAAAAAAAAAAAAAAAAAAAAAGGACAAGCCTGGGAGGCGGGTGGACATGGAGTCCCCCTGTTGAGGAAAATAACGAGACACCACAGAAGGTTCTGCACGTAGTCGGATCTGAGTTGGCCAGTGGTGACTGGAAGCAGGGAGGCTGGACAGCCCACAGATGGAGGAACTGCATCTACCGCAAGGACCCATCACAGGCGCCAGGGCTTCCGACTGCTCTGAGTGCCCTAGCAGTCTACTTGCCCTTCAAAAGAGCAAAATCCTTCCAGATGTTTCAAACAGAAATACTGAATACAGGAGATTAGATGCAAGAGTGTCATGGGGCATAGGGATACTTATTGTCCCAGCCCTTGGGAGGCTGAAGTAGAATTGCAAGTTGCAGCCCAATCTGGGCAAGTGAGTGATTTAACAAGAGCCTGTCTCAAAAATATATTTAAAAGGGCTGGGGATATATTAGTGCAAAGGCCCTAGACTCAAGTGCTTGAACTGAAAAGAAAAATGTTATGTTACTTCAATTTTTTAAATATTTATTGATTGTGTGTGTGCGCATGTGGCCAGCTCAATCCACCTGGGGGTGGGGCTGGCTGGCATGTGGTGCTGGGGGATCGTACCGCGGTCCCTGTGCTTTGCCAAGCTTGTTCCAAGTAGGTGCTTTAGACCACTGAGCCATCTCTCCAGCCCCTGTTATGTTACTTCAAAGAAAAACATAAATCAACAAAATACCCATTAAAGTCTTTTTGGGAAAATAAATCCCACTATTTCTCACAGAGAACAAATGGCCACTAAGTGGGTCACACCGTGGAAAAACACTGAGGACCTATGCAGACCCAAACTTCCCGAGTAACCCATGTACAAATCAGGTGCCAGAGCTGTCGCATGAAGAGGACCCTTCAAGGGGACACTCACCTGCACAGGGCAGCTGTGGGTGTCAGCCCAGTGCTACAAATAAACAATCTCATAAGAAAAAGTTGCACATCTATTATGAATACACAGGAGTAAACTCCTGACCTGAAAGACACCTGGGATGAGTTCATGTTCTCTAAAACCGAAGAATGGAATTTAGGCACAATGGAGGTTAAGAAAGAATATATTGATTTCAGACTCTAGTTGGAAGAGGAATCCTGTCTCAAAACCACCACCCAGTACTCCCAGCCCGACTCAGGCCATCGCTGTCACCGCTGGTGGGGGAAGAGGGCCATTATTCAAAGGAGCCAGAGTAGTAACTGTTTATTGGTGGTCTGAATTTTGAAGCTACTGATGATAGTTTGAGAGAACACTTTGAGAAATGGGGCACACTCCCAGAGTGCGTGGTAATGAGATCCTCAAACAGGACGCTCCCGAGGCTTTGGTGCTGCGACTTACTCTTGTGTTGAAGAGGTGGATGCCGCAAAGTGTGCTCGGCCACACAAAGTTGATGGGCATGAAGTGGAACCAAAGAGAGCTGTTTCTAGGAGGATTCAGTGAAGCCTGGTGCCCATCTAACAGTGAAGAAAATTTTTGTCGGTGGTATTAAAGAAGATACAGAAGAATATAATTTGAGAGACTACTTTGAAAATATGGCAAGATTGAAACCATAGAAGTTATGGAGGACAGGCACAGTGGGAAAAAGAGGATTTACTTTTGTAACTTCTGATGATCATGACACAGTTGATAAAATTGTCGTTCAGAAATACCACACTAGTTAGGGGCTAGGGAGATGGCTCAGTGGAATAAGCACTTCCCTGGCAAGTGTAAGGGCCTGAGTTCGATCCCTGGTTCTGCAAAAAAAAAAAAAAAAAAAAAAAAAAAAAAAAAAAAAAAAAAAAAAAAGAAAAGAAATACCACACTAGTAATAGGCATAATTGTGAAGTGAAAAAGGCCCTTTCTAAACAAGAGATGCAGTCTGCTGGATCACAAAGAGGCCGTGGAGGTGAATCTGGCAACTTTATGGGTCATGGAGGAAACTTTGGAGGTGGTGGAGGGAATTTTGGCCGTGGTGGAAACTTTGGCAGAAGAGGAGGTTACAGTGATAGAGGAGGTGGCAGCAGAGGTAGTTATGGTGATGGTGGATATAATGGATTTGGAGGTGATGGTGGAAACTATGGTTGTGGTCCTGGCTACAGTAATAGAGGGTATGGTGGTGGTGGACCAAGATATGGAAACCAAGGTGGTGGATATGGTGGTGGTGGAGGATATGGTCGTTACAACGAAGGAGGAAATTTTGGTGGTGGTAACTGTGGTGGTGGTGGGGACCATGATTTTGGAAATAGTGGACAATAGTAGTCAATTATGGACCCATGAAGGGAGGCAGTTTTGGTGGAAGAAGCTCTGGCAGTCCCAATGGTGGTGGTTATGGATCTGGTGGTAGCAGTGGCAGATATAGTAGCAGGTGGTTTTAAAAAACAACAGAACAGGGCTACAGTTCCTAGCAGGAAAGCGAGGAGTTGTCAGGAAAGCTGCAGGTTACTTTGAGACAGTTGTCCCAAATACATTTAAGGAACTGTAAAAATCTGCCATAGAAGGAACGATGATCCACAGTCAGAAAAGTTAGTACAGCTTAAACAGGAAACCCTTCTGGTTCAGGACAGTCATAGCCAATTTGCAAAAAGTGCAGCTATTGATTAATGCAATGTAGTGTCAATTAGATGTACATTCCTGAGGTCTTTCATCTGCTGTAGCTTTGTCTTTTTCTTTCTTTTCATTACATCTTTCTTTTCATTTACATCCTGTAAATTGTTGTAGTGGTACCAAGAATAAAAAATTAAGGAATTTTTAACTTAAAAAAAAAAGATAAGAATATATTTACTGGGGAAAAGAAAGCTTCTGTCTGAGGGGCAGAAGGGGACCTGAGTAGGTTGCCAAGGAATCTATCTTTTCTGGGGATTTTTACAGAGCAAAACTGATAGGTTATGGCCCTAGTAAGAATTGCTGAATTATTATGGTGGTCATCTGACATGGGTGAAGCCCTTAAAACAACAGTTTATCTTCCAAATGACCACTTCCACCTCCTTCCCCACTCCAGCCCTGGCTACAACTGCCTTTGACCTTTCCCGCCCACACAAGGGAACCTCCAATCAGCTCCTTACACGT